ATTCTTCATCTCCTCTATGTTGTTTGTCGCCTACGAAAGACCTATCGTAAGTCATAACTCATAATAAACTATAGTCATTTCTAACACTTGTTTTTCTTAATTTTGTACCAAAAGAACAAAAAAAAAACGTCAACAAACAAATACTAATGAAACATAGGATTAATATATGCAATGAAAGTTGAGTTAAGATATAAAATCGAAAAATTCTATGAGATTTTAAGGGATGGGAAGAAGGTTGGATTGGGCCCAACCAAAACCAACCCAACCTGAAATTGACTTCGAATTGTGTTGAGTTAGATTAGGGTTGAAAGAGTTTAGTTAGGGTTAGGGTTAGGTTGGTCAGGTTGGGTTAAGGTTAGGATTTAAAACTTAGGGTTTGGCTCAATCCGACCTAACCCGGCTCAACCTGCAGCCCTAGTATCCACGCGTATCTTGATTTTTCGTCTGTATCTATGCATTTTCAAAACGTATCTCGATACGTTTCTTAAAATTACCTTTCCGATACACCTTGCATTTCCAATACTTTGAACCTTACAAGTATTAAAGATAGATCTAGTGAAGAAAGATTTATAAAGACTGCTTAGCATATTTTTAAAACATTGAGAACATGGGAAAGAAAATTACTACCTTATAATATAGTAATAATTTACTACAACAAAATAAGGAATCACAACTTGAACTTTAGGCTCATTTTGGAAGGAGTACAAATATAAATACATACAAAATAATACAAAATGTAAGGTTTTGCACTCTACATATTTATATTTGATATTTGTACTCCTTCCAAACTGAGCCTTATGAAAACCCTTAAAACAATTCCCCTGCAAAATGGCCCACCCTTTCACACAATCACATTTTCCAAAAGATCCGTGAGTTCAATCATCTTGAGAGGAACCATCGGAGGAACCGTCCAGTGGAATCCCATCCATATCATTTCCCACAGTCGTCTCCTGTAAACATGCTCCAAAATTGGACAAAATGAAATCAACAATGATCAACAAGTCTTGGGAGCCGGTGTAGAGTTAAAATATGCATGGAACTCAGGAACTTACCGGCATTTTATCCCAATCTTTCAATTTAAAACTTGTAAGCATATAACTATCACGTAATGGAGCCCAAGCAGGGCCATCATCACCCTGCATGCCATAAAACCATGATCTAAGTAATCTCCATACCGAGCAAAATTAATTGGCAGGACTGGATTCTTTTAGTTGATTGCCTGGCTTATCAACATGTGCACACACAACACAATCCATTTAATTATTACTTCATGTATTATTTTCCCCTTGAAAATAATCTGTAAACGGAAAATGAAACATGTAACAAAGAAACAACAGACCACAGGCTACCACCACAAGAGGGAGGGGGTACCTTGGCAGGAGGGTCAGCAGCTTGTGATGGCTTCCGTAACTCTGAGAAGAAAGCTTCTTTCTGCCGCTTCCCTAACACTGTCAGAATAAGGAGTGTGCCACTCAATTAGACAAGTAAATGCACTTAATCCTTCACTCAATTAGACAAGTAAATGCACTTAATCCTTTAAGAAAAACATACGAGGCAATCAAATATCAATATGGTAAGCTACCAAAGAATCACTTAAAGAAGTGCTAGTGAAAAAATTTTAGTATAATTTTTCACATAACATAATTCACCCAATTAGATTAATAACTAGGCTTTTTGATATTTGGGTAAGTCCTATTCAGGAAATCACGTAGATACATTCCTGTAATTACATCTCTACTAGGGACAAAGAAAACATCTTGATTCTGGTTTAGAAGTACAAATATTTACTCAGAGAATTTTCCTTTAAAAATTCTAGTGCATATATTCCCTCTTTATTTGAGAGAAAACTGGAAAATATAAATAAATAAAATTTTTCTCTATACATAACGAGAAAATAGGGAAAATAGTTAACTATAAGGCTGTAGATGGCCTTTAAATAATGGTTTCTATGTGTTACCATGCAATGAGGAACCATAATCAGCCAAGTTTTCTAAACTAGGCTGTAGATAGTTATCTCCTTGCATGCAGTCCAATCTGAGACAAGGAAAAAAAGAAGGAAATAAGTAAATAAATAAATAAAGGGGTGAGAGGAGTAGAAGGAATAGATTTAGTCCTACGTCTCAAGAATGAGGCTATAGGAATATCATAGTGAAGAGGTGTAGGAGGAAAGCAAGATTCCCTACCTTCCTCTTCTTTTTTCCACATTCTTCATGTCCCAATCTTCTATCTTCTCCTTCACTTGTCTCTTTTTGCTGGAAATTCTAGAAGCAGACTAGTATTAACCAATAAAATGGCATTAGCCTTCTCTCCTACAAGGAGAGGGGTTTATATAGAGGAGGAAGGTGGTTAGGTAACTCCCCACCACCACTCTCTTCCTAGAGTGCCAAGTGTCAACTTAGAATGGTCTAAGAAAGGAAAAGAAAGCTCTTTCTTCGTAACACGTCACCCTACTTAAAGTGACTAAAGGGAAAAGAGCCCTCACTTCTTAAGGTGCCATGTGTCATTCCACTTAGGCTATGTTTGGTTTGAAGGAAAAGGTAGGGAAACCCATAAAACCAAACACAGCCTCAAAGTGATCAAGAGAAGAAAAAGAACCCTCTTGTTCTGATAGGACAGATGGCATCCCCTTTATAAATAAACGAGACACCTCAGAATTAAGTTTTATTAATTAATAGTTTTAATCCTTTTAGGGCCTACTATCCCATAAAATGGGCTCTACTGCAAGGCCATTAAATGCTTAATGAATCATTATTAAGGCCCAAATTAATTTAGGGCCTAATGTTCACTAAAATGGAATCCAGGCCCATTTCTTTATTAAATAAATTACCACAGCCCACTCATAGGACTGGGCTTAGAAAGGCTTTTTTTAAGCTGTAATTGGGAGTACTTTAATAAACTGCTCCCAATCCAGCAAAAATAAGGACTTAAGAAGAAGAACAGCATCAAGAGTGGTTTTTGCACCAAGGTGGGAACCAAGAACCATCTCAAGCATCTAAGCTTGAATTTTAAACAACAGAACCTAAATGTTAGAAGCCAAATATTTTACCTTTACTTCAGAATGTTGTTATTGTACTGTAAATTACCTATCCAGCTTTAGATTAATATAACCTCCAAATAGATGAAACAACAAAAAAAAAAAGTTCAGTAAAATAAAGTTTCTTCCTCATAAAGAGTCAACTGAGTTATCAGATTCCTTAAGATGAACCATTTAAGGAAAACACGATCCATCTCGCTGAAAACAGTGTTTTAAAAGCACAAGGGCAAGATGAGGTGTACGCCTATTTTAAGCAAAGGCATAAAATTAGAAAAAAAATTACAGCAATGCCCAAAAAAGATTGGCTCTTCCCACCCCTTATTTGGCCAAAGAATCTGCCATAGAATTAGCACTCCTCTTGGACCACTGAAACTGAATTTCCATGTTCTGAGTTAGCTCATTAATTTTCTTTTTTTAATTTAAGAACTTACACAGACTGAAGTCTTCCTTCTGCAGCCAACTAAGCCAGCCTAGAGTCGCCTTCCACCAACAGTTTTTTAATATTCAGCTGCTGGGCTCTTTTAATGCCTTCCAAAACTGCCAAAATTTCAGCTCTCGGAGAATCCCCCCAACCTATAGGACCTGAAAACATTGCAATAATTCGACCTTCTTCATCCCTGAACACTCCACCTATACCTGAAGGGCCTGGGTTTCCTTCACTGCTGCCATCAAAGTTCAACTTAATGAACCCCATAGTTGGAGGAGTCCAAGCTGGAATAGGGTAAGTATTCAAGGGAGCAGACCAAGCCACTTCTTTCCAATTTCTAATGATATCTCCTACTGAGTAACCTTCAAAGAGCTTCATAGTCTTGACCCAATGTACCACCCTCACAAAGATTAATTCAATGATGGCTTTCTTTTTCTTTCTTTTTCATGGAAAGTTCTTTGATTTCTTTCCTCCCACACCGTCCAACATACAGCTGCTCTTACACATTTCCACAAAATTTTACCTCTTTTTTAGACCCCTCACTGAAGTAGATTAAACAAGCTTTGCACATTTGGAGGGGAGGGCCACCAGTGCGGGGATAAACACCAATTAGGCCTTTTTCTTTTGAAGTCACAAGTGTTACACTTTTCTAGGACAGCTTCCCAACAGAAAGCACCTACTCTGGGAGGAACTGGTCTACCCCAAACTTCCAAGACTGGGAAAGGATAACCAAGGGCCGGGGGGAATTGGGTTAATTCTTTGAAAAAAGAAGAACAAGAGAAGATACCCGAGGGAGAAGGAACCCAAATCCTACTATCCAGCCTAGAGGGGTCAATTAACTACCTCATCCAGGATCTTAAGCAAATTTGCAATGGAGTCCAATTCAGAGTCTCTAAGATCCCTTCTAAAGCCTAGATTCCAAATAAGAGCAGAATTAGAAGAGGTCGGGAAGGTGGCTACTGGCTCATTTTTAAACCTTGCGAGGGAAAACAAGGAAGGGAACTGCTCTTTTAAAGGAGTGTCTCCCACCCAAATATGTTCCCAAAATTTCACAGTATTACCTGAGCAAAGGTCATACCTGATGAGAGGAAGGAAAGTTAGCATGGATAGACTTCCAAGGAAAAGCTCTTGTAGCCCTAGATGAGACTCCCGTATCCCAGCCATCTGCCTCTTGCCCATGAACACTTACGATTACTTGAGCCCACAGCTTATCTCTTTCCTTTGTCAGTCTCCATAACCATTTCCCCAAAAGAGCTTTGTTCTTTTTCTGTAAGGTTCCCAAACCAAGTCCACCATCACTTTTAGCTTTGGTAACCATATCCCACCTAACTCTATATGGTCCCTTTTTCTCCTCCCCTAGTTCCCACAAGAAATCCCTCATTAGTTTTTCCAAAACCCTACACACTCCCTCAGGAATTTTAAACACAGATAGAAAGTAAACAGGAAGGCTAGTCAAGGTTGACTTAATCAAAGTTATCCTACCACCCAAAGAGAGGTAGCTTTTCTTCCAAGATGCTAACCTTTTTGTGTATCTATCAATCACCGGATTCCAAAAACTCCTTTTACTAGGATTATCCCCTAGTAGAAGCCCCAAATATTTCAATGGCCACTGAGCAATCTCACAACCCAAGATTTGAGCCCTATCTTCCACCTCTCTAGCACTCATGTTAATGTCGATCACACAACTCTTATCAAAGTTGACTTTGAGGTTAGTCACTTGTTCAAACACATTAATCACCTTTTTTTAAATTCCTAACCCACCTAATCTCCTCCCCACCGCAAAACAGAATTGTGAGATTCGTAAATTGTAAATGAGTGACCAAAACCCTGTCCCTCCCAATTCTCCAACCCCTAACCAAGCTTCTAGAATCTGCCCTCTCAATAAGCCTCCCTAAAACTTCAGCAATCAAGGTAAAAAGGAAGGGGAAAAGGGGGTCGGTCCCCTTGCTCAATACCTTTAGAAGCTGGGAAGTGGTCTACCACCTTGCCATTCACCAGTATGGAGTAGTGGCAAGTCTTGATACACCCTTTTACCCAATTACACCACCTCTGCCCAAAACCAAAGGACTCTAGGACTTCCAACAAGAAAGACCAATCAACCAAATCATAAGCCTTTTCTAGATCCAATTTGCACACCAGCCCTTTCTTCCCTCTTCATTTTAAATCTTCCACACTCTCATTTTCTATTAAGATTTGATCCACAATTTGTCTGTTCTTCACAAAGGCACCTTGATTGGAAGAAATGATTGTGGGAAGCACCTCTCTAATTGTTCGAGATAAAACCTTAGCAATGATCTTATAGAGGCTATTAACCAAACTGATGGGTTTGAACTCTTTAGGGTGGCAAGCTCCCTCCTTTATTGGGATTAAGGCAATAAATGTAAAGTTCAGACCTGGATCAATCACCCCTCTTTCAAAGAATTCTGAGAACACAATTTGGATATCATCCTTAATTATCTCCCAATAGTCTTGATAAAAAGCCATCGTGAAACCATCAAGGCCTAGGGGCTGGGGCTTTAGCTCTATCCATTGAGAAGATGGCTTCCCTTATTTATTCTAGCTCAAACTTTCTTTCCAACCACTCAATCAACTCTTCAAGGAGCCTAGGCCAATTCAAACCTCCAATCCGTAATTTGTCATTTAGGGGCCTTCTGAAAATGGATTTGAAATGTTCCAAAAAATCCCCTGCAATCTCATTCTATTGGGTTAAAGTTATACCATCAACTACCAGCTTAGAAATGGAGTTCCTCTTCCTTCTGCCATTGGCTATAGCATGAAAAAATTGTGTTCCTATCTCCCTCCTTCACCCATTTGTGTCCAGATTTTTACTTCCAACCAATTTCCTCCTTAAAAAGTGTGTCCTCCAGATTTTTCCTCAACTCCCACATCAACTCTTTGTCCCTTTCCCCAAAACAACCTAGCTCTTTGCATCTAATTCCTTAATTTTGTTATAATCAACTGGTGTTTCCTTTCTTCTAACCTCCCAAAGTGAAGAATATTCCATTCCTTGATTTTGACTTTCAGCTCTTTTAACTTCCAATGGAATTTCATTCCTGCCCAATTTACGCTTGGATTGCTTTCATTCCACCACTCCTTCACTTTCTCCTTAAAGCCCAGGTGATGCAGCCACATATTCTCAAATCTAAAAGGGGAGGGTCCACTATTTCCAGCCTCAAACTTCCTTAGCAGAATTGGCCAATGGTCAGAAGCAACTCTAGGTAAAGCCCTTGACACCAGGTCTCCCCAATGTTCTTCCCAATCTGCAGTAAATAGGAATCTATCTAATTTGGAACAAATTGGTTCAGTCTAGAGGTTAGACCAGGTGATATTGTTATGTAATAGGTCCAGCTCCTTGAGTTCAAAAGCATTGATAAACTCATTAAACTTCCTCATACTGGTAGTATTCCTTTGCCACACTTTATTGCACTCCTCACTGAACCTAATCACATTGAAATCCCCTCCTAGACACCAAGGTCCTTCCCACAATCCTCTAATATCTCCCAGTTCTTCCCACAATTCATTCCTTCGTTTGTAGCTATTAGGGCCATAAACATTAGTTAAGACCCATTCGAACCCATCTTCCACTTGCTTGAATTTGATAGAAACTGAGAATCTTCCAATTAATTCTTCGACTCCCTTCACAACTTCATCCTTCCACAAAGTGAGTAACACTCCAGATGAGCCCCAAGAAGGGCTCATTACCCAACTAAGGCCATTTGCTCTCCATATGCTTCTAGCCCACCTCTTGTCAAAGGTCATGAGTTTAGATTCCTAGATTAGAAAAATGTCTGGGTTTTCTTTCCTTAGGACCTCCTTTATTAAAGCTCTCTTTCTTATATTCCCCAAGCCTCTCACATTCCAGCTCACAATCTTCATTACTCCAACTTAATCTATCCCCACCCTAACCTTCCTCCCTAAAATCCTCCTTTTCTTCCCCTACCCTTCCTCTCACTAAATTCTTTGTCCCCCTCCACATCCAATTTCAACCTCTCAACTTCACTTAACTTCCTTTTTCTCATCTTTCCTTTTTTTATTCCTCAAATAAACTTTCAACTCATTCGGATTTTTTAACTTGCAACCTAGATTTTTCTACAAATTCAGCTAGAGAATCATCTTTTCCTTCTCCCTTTTCAGTCTTTCCTCTTCTGTCTTCTTTAAGCCTCTCACTCATCCTCTCCTGCTCCATCTCTTCTTCAACTACTTTAGACCCACTATCCTTACTCTCAATCACCTTCTCCTTCTCTAACTCCACCCTAGTCAGATTATTAAGTTCTTCCATTATTAAATTCCACACCCTCTCACCCTCCTCCTGTATCTCCCCTGCACCACCAACTCTGTCAATTCCTGAACCATGGGCAATCGGAAAGTAAGCATGTCTGGAACCTGGAAGACAATCAACAGGGGCAGAGCCAGAGTTAGTATCAAAACCCGAACACAAGAACATACTTGGGTCTGAGAAAGGAGGACATTCAACAGCCGGCTGGGTTTCACAATTCGACAATAGAATAGGGTCTTGCAGGGCACAACCTAGACTTGATTCACCCTTATGAAAACTTCCGAGGCTCTACCGTTCATCCCCTCCTGAAATAACCATATTTGAAGATTGATAATCAGCCGTTGTCTTCTCAGAGGTCCCCCTGCCCATTGTTCATTTTCTGGCTTGTTTTTTTTCTACCCAAGGTTTGGTTTTCCCCCTTAGCATCCAAGGAGCGCTCGGCATCCTTTAACATCCCACAATCAGCAGATGGTTTCAGCACAGAGGTAACATCTTCAGCGTCCTCAGAAAAGAGAATGGCGGTACTAAAAGTGTCTTCCAACTCTTTATGACCAGCATTCTCCCCTAGACTATGGTTCTCTGCTTCCGACTCTCTCTCAAAGTCATCCTCCAGAGAATCACAGCTTACCCATCCGTCATCTTCCTCTTCAATATCTTGGGTTTGGCCTATCTTCTCCCATTTTATCCTGCTCCGCTTCTTTAGAACTTGCAACTGGAGCCCAACAAAAGTTTCACCTCAAGGGATTTTGTCCGTCTGAAATTTTTTGGCCTACACACGATTGCAGCACTTGTGGGGAAGATGATAGACCAACACTATGATCCTCCAATGCCTGCTTAGAGACCCGACTACGTTACCATTTAAAAAGTCACATGAGTCAGCTGTAACATCATGGCCCTCCTTTAGGGTTGACCCAGGCTGACCAAAATTTAAGCCAATTGGGTCAGAAAGGGTTGTGTGAATGCCATTTCTAGCTCTAAGTGGTCCCCTCCCCTGATCCGACTGAGTTCCCCTTCTAACCATTTCTGCAAAGGACGGATTGGTAGTAAAACCCTTTTTAATTTCAAAATTATTTGAAAACTTTTCCAAAAGATCCACTCGACTTTTGGAGCTTGACTTTTCAGTTTCCATAGAAGGCAGCTCCTTTTCTCTAGGCAGAACTTCCTCCCCAAGTTTACTGATGTGTCCATTCATCTTCTCCTTATTCCCACCAAGTGTTACCCATCTTGCCAGGTCATCATCGTCTTCAAGCTTCGATCTCCCATACCACTGTGACGCTTCCACTTCTGAGGCAACCCAGATCTTGTACCAGTAGCCATCTGCACAAAGACTGAACATTCTTGGCACAGCTTTGGGCTTAATACCAGCTATCCTTAGATTGACTGCTCTCAGATCTAAGGTCTTGAAAGAGAGAACACCACCCATCGCCAGCACTATTTTTTCCAGGAGGGTTTTTTGCCAAAAGTGAAAAGGTAAGCCCAGAAGCTTCAATTTGAAACTCCCATCAACAGAGGTTACTGTGTTAACCAAGGGGCACCAGTTTTCGATCACCACTGTTCCTTCCTTTGTTTTCACCGTGGTGAAGTCAATCACTTCATCCCCCACATCTAGAACTGCTTTCCTTTCGTTGAAGGGTATTAGAATGACAGTCTGATGGAGCCCAATCAAAGGTAATTTAGAAGTTCATAGACCAATACAAGAGGTGTAAAACACATAAATATGTATAAAAAAGTAACCAAAAAAGCAAACTTATAAAAGATGTCTGCCTAGCATGGATGCCTTTTGATGGAGACATTGCATAGGTTCAAGCAAGGTATATACCTCAAAATGCACTCTGCCAGTCTGCCTATGTGCCTGGGCATGAATTTCAAAACATTGTGCCTTACCTTAATCTTAGCAATCTAAAATCTCTCTCTTTGTCCCTAAAGTTCCTCTCTTGTTAAGCTCCAATCATTATTAAAATTTAGATCAAAAAGTTAAAAATACAAAAATTAAAATTACTTAATAATGTAATAAAACAAAATATCTTTTTTAGTTAGTTAAGACTTCAAAGCCACATATTCTAGTAGGTCATGATTAATAAAATATCTTCTATCACTTGTCTGTAATGTCTGCTTCTATGGCCCATTGGTCCAGATACTGCTTTGATTTATAAAGAACTTCATGTGTGTAAAAACCTTTGCAGTTCAACCATATCACAAATTAATACCCAAAGAAATAAGAAGCTACAAAAAGAAGGTTCTGCATATATTGAGAGTACTGACCATTGTCAATAGCAGTTCGGGCCCATGGAGATACAGGAATCTGTTAAGGGACATTGGAAGGATGATAAGAGGGATTAGGGTTCAGATAAGGTGGATCCCAAGGGAGGGGAACAGCATGGCAGACACACTAGGAAAGCAAATGGGTACATATAAGAAATAAGTATTGGGGAGATCATCTCAGGAGACCAGGGTGACCAGTATGATTATATACATGATAAAAGCTTGTCTTATTTGTTCTTCATTGAGAAAAGTTCTTTATTACCTTTTACATTCTTGATATGGAGTAAGATTAAGAGTATGCCCATATAATCATGCCAAATAAACAAAAATATCCAGGTTGAGTAAAGAAAGATTAGTGATTCACAATCCCAAAGAAATCATTCAAAAACTCAAACTTCATAACAACAAAAACAGAAATAAGAAAAAGGAATAGCTCGTGAACAATCTTATTCATGTCAAGACAAACAAGATGAATAGCAGCAATTACAAATAAAACCATTCAAATATTTCATGAAGATCTCATTTGCAAATTTCATAATAGAACAGAGGCCGCTCAAACCTTTATTGATTACAGATTTCCATTAGTATACCTTTTGCATCTTTAGACCTTGATGGATTTAATCCTTTTTGAGCATTTTGTGCTTTGTTGACCTGTATAATGTGTTCAATATAAGCTAAGCATACAACACAGTGGCTATAGTACAATAAAAGTTTACACAACTAACTTTTCTTTTTTGATTGTTGAAAATGCACAGGAAAAGGTGAAAGCACAAGTGCCAACTTACAGCATTAAAGAGCTTGACCACTTGAGCACCAGCAATAATTCAGAGATGCAAACCAAATTACTTGATAAAAGATTAGAAAAGGAAAAGAAAAACAAATTTTGAGGAAAATAAATGCCCCTTGCGACACAAAGCTCAACCAAAATCACATAACACGACATAATAAATATTAAATTACATTTGGCAATGACCATCCCTGTAGGATACATTTTTATTTTTGGTATCTATCTCATTCACATATTTAATTAGTAAACTCTCTTGCTAACAATGAAAAAAATGTAAAATTATATTAGGATTTTGGAAAACAGAGGGATTTAATAACAAATTACCAAATGTTTCTCCTTCTTAGCCTCCCCCTTAGACTTCCATTCAGCTTCTTCTTCAGCAAGCTTCTTGGCAACAAGCCTCTTCTGTGCGGACAAGACAGGACCCTGTGAAGACAGAAAAATCTTAGAGGGCTTACTTATTAATAAAGAAAAATCTAATAACTTGAACTGCTTACCACTTACCAGTGAATTATCTTGACACATTTGTCTTAGTGATCTTCATGAAGGCTACCCTGAATGCTCTACAACCTTCTGTGAACTTTGTCACTCCTGGCTGAGTTCTATCTTCCTCATCTTCAGAATCCCCCTTTTCTTCAACAGCACCAGGATCAGAGCCATCTATACCCTCCTCTTCACTAGAATTCCCAACTGAAAACTCTTTGTGATCAAGAGGCCTTGTATTAGCTTCTCCAACTTCAGGATTAGACTCATCGTCATCATCTGAATTGTACTCCCTTGCCCTCTTGCGAAACAACATTTTCATTTTCTTATCTATTTTGACCTTTTCTCCAGTACCCGAAAAGGCTTTTAATCTCTTCCTTTCCTTGCGACCCTTACTGCACCGAGATTTTCTCTTCTTAATGCCTTCTGTTTTTTCTGGCAGTTGAATTGCTGTATCCATGACCTAATATTTTGAAGTCCTATCTTCTTGGCTTCTAAAAAGATCCTAAGATATTGAAATCAATAACCACAAGAATTTGCAATTAGAAATTTCATATCAATACTAATCTAACATTTTTTAGGTCTGTTTTATGGGTGAATTTTACCATTGACCGAGTTGAAGGAAACATGAACTATGGGTTTTGGGGCAATAGGGACATAATTTATGCTTAGACCTTCAGAATTCACAAGACTTTGAAGAAAGCACAAGAAGGTTTTAGGATGTTAATGCTGCATCAAAAGTCCAAAACCATCGGTTGACTTTTTTGGGGAGGGTTTCATTTTAAGAATGGGGCGAGGTACCGGAGACAATATAAATTCTCTGTACAGACAATGAATGCAGAACAAAAGATAGTGGAAAATAACTTTGGTCTTAATGACCCCCAATCATGAGTATAAGTTTAGGTTTGGTTGTATTAATATTCAGACAGATTCAACTTTGCAACTTCACAAGTAATGAACCAATTTAGGTCCAAAATAAAACATTATGAGAATAGAACACAAGGCTAAAGATGGAGGCAAGACAATTGAGTCTTGGAAAGGCAATGTATAAGCCTCGAGGCAGTTTGAGGCATAAGCCTCAAAATAAAAATTTATTAAGGTCATATAGTCCATAAACAATAAAAGCATTAGAAAAACAAAAAAAAATTGAACTTTACATATTTTATGTGTGGCTTATTTATTATATTAATGGTATAATGACCGTTAGTTGTGTACATCAATCTTGCCATTGTGTCATTCTATGAAGAAGGGCAAATACAATTAGGAGAGTGGAAATAAGAGGTCAACTGGTGGAACAGGAAAAAGAGGTTGAAAAATGCCATTTTGTCTTTCTATGAAGAGCTTTATAGTGAGCCTTGTAAGCAAAGACCAAAGTTGGAAGGATTACAGTTTGGGACAAGGCTTAAAATTTTGCAATGTAGCAGCCTGTATCAACCGATACATACCGTTCTGGAAGGGGCCTGATACACAAAACATATAGAATTAGATAGTTTTGTGTTTTTTTTCACTCGTATCAGACTGATACGGGTATGTATCAGCCGATACAATACCAAAACAGACCAATACACACTATGTATCAACCGATACAATCCGAATTTAATTTCCCTCTCTTTCTACTTTTTAAATTCAAATTCAAATTCAAATTATCTCTTCTCTCTCATTTACATCACTTTTAATTAAGCCTTTGAATTTGAGACATCATTAAATGCTAATATTACTTAATTAAATGCTCATTTGAGTCACTTTTAATTAAGGCATCTGAGACGTTATTAAATGCTAATTAATCCAATATAATTTAATAAACCACCAAAATAGCTTGTTAAAAAACCATAAGTTGAAGGTAAGAAGTTTTGAATCCTAATCATTTATTCACAACGACAATTAGTCCACTATGCCATACCTTAATTAGTTGTCTTAATAATATGTATTTTGACTCTAATTAATGAAATCTTTTCAGAGTTATTGATAAAAAAATATATGTATTTTGACTCTTAAGTAATCTTTCTTCTCTTGTTAGATGTTTCTCAATAAATGCTAAAATTTGATTATTAAAATTTATATAATAAGGATTAATACAAATTATATTTATTTACTAAAAATTAAGGTATATATTAACTTATATACATAATAAATATTATCTAAATCTATATATAATAAATATTGACTAATAAATGGCTTCAAAAAAAGATTAACTGATAAATATTAATATATATACACACACATACATTTTAGTTCTTCTATTATTTTTCAACGTTTACCAATTTTGTCCTGATACTTTATAATTATATAAACCATTAAAGTATGGTTTTTATGTTTAAATAAATTAGTTATAACATATAAAACTCGTATTTGTTGTTGTTAACATTTTTCTAAGGATTTCTTGGGATTATCTAGTGTATCCATGCGTATCTTGATTTTTTGTCCATATCTGTGTGTATTCAAAGTGTATTTTGATACATCTCTTAAAATTACCTTTCTGATACACCTTACATTTCCAATACTTTGAACTGTGGTTTGGGATGCTTACTGATCTTATGCAGCAAATTTGGAAAAGCCCTTCTTTGAGGAGGTTAAGCAAGCAATTGATGAGATAGAAGGGGAAAAGGCCCTTGAGCATGATGGTTTCACCATTTTATTCTACAAGAAATATTGGGATCTCGTTAAACATGATCTGTTAAAGGTTTTAGAGGAATTCCACAGTTCAGAAGCTCTTGAAAGAAGCTTGAATGCAACGTTTATTTCTTTGATTCCTGAAAAGAAAGGATCTGCAGAGTTGAAGGACTTCAGACCTATTAGCTTGMTTGGAAATGTTTACAAGGTTCTGGGTAAGAATCTAGCCACAAGGCTAAGGAAGGTGATGGGTGCTATTATTTCAGCATATCAAGGAGCTTGTGTTCAGAACAAACTTATTCAGGATGGAGTTCTTGTAGCTAATAAACTCATCAATTCAAGGAAGAAAAGTGGAAAGACAGGTTTGGTTTGCAAAAATTGATCTAGAGAATCCTATGATCATGTCAACTAGGATTTCTTGCATTATATGATGGCAAAAATGCACTTTGGTTCCAAATGGAGGAGCTGGATGAACGTATGTGTCACCACGCCAAAGTTCTCAGTGTTGATAAATGGTACTTCCAAAGGCAATTTCAAAAGTTGTAGAGGTTTGAGGCAAGGTGATTCACTATCATCTTTGTTATTTCTCATGGTGGTGGAGGGCCTAAGTAAATTGGCTGATAGAGGTTCAGACTTGGGTTGGTTGGAGGGTTTTGAAAGCTGTAGCTATGGCACTACAATGCCTCTATTACAGCTCATGGATGACACACACTTCTTCTGAAATGCTTCAACAACTCAAGTACTGAATTTAACACTCATCCTAAACTGGTTTGAGATGGTATCAGGTCTGAAAGTCAATTTATCCAAAAGTGAGATGTTAGCAGTTGGAGAAGTAACCGATGTTCATGAACTGGCCAAAATTTTAAGGTGCAACTGTGCAAGGTAGGTAGTTCCCACTTTCCCTACAAAGTACTTGGGGTTTCCCTTTGGAGCTAAATGTACTCCGAAGGCCATTTGGGACCCAATTTTAGAGAGGATGGACACGAAGATGACAGCTTGGAAAGCCCAGTACCTCTTGAAAGGGGGTAAAATCATACTCATCAAAAGTGTTTTGGCAAGTCTGCCTGCATATTGCATGTCCTTGGTCACGATTCCTTCAGAGGTGGCAGAAAAAATAGAAAAAAGGTGAAGGATTTCTTGTGGCTTGGTTGGAGGGATTAACTGAAATTCCATTTGGTGAATTTGGAGCAGGTTTGCAGGCTTATCTCTCGTGGTGGTCTGGGAATCTGACAGGTCGAAAATTTCAAAATTGCCTTACTAGGCAAGTGGCTATGGGGATTTTCGTTTGAACTCAACAACCTTTGGAGGAAAGTAGCTGCAGAGAAATACAGGGTAAGCAGCAACAGTTAGGATGCTGTGAGGCCACTTTTGCCATATAGTTGTGGTGTATGTAAAGGAATTTTTAAAGTTTTCCTAAGTTCAGCAGAGGCATAAAGTTTAAGTTAGGTGGTGGAAGGAAGTTAAGGTTGTGGTTAGACCCATAGTGTGGAGACAGTGCATTAAAGGACCTATTTTCTGCCCTTGGTTGCTGAATCATATGTGGTGGATAAGGCTGCAACTTGGGCCGGGTTGGCCTGAACCCAACCCGAAAAAGTTGGGTTGGGTTGATGCTTGGGTTAGGGTTAGGGTTGAAATTCATGAGCCTCACTTTAATTCGGGTTGGGTTAGGGTTGATCCCTTAGACAACCCAAGCCAACCCGAACCCGACTCTATAATACATGTCATATATAAATATATGTTATATGTAATATATAACATACATTGATTTGTTTAGATGCATGATATTTGTATAGCCCCCACCACATAGTATCATGTATTTCTTTTAAGATAATCGCTTCACTTAATCCTAATTGGAAAGACCAAAACCTTAATAACATTATTTTATGTTTTTTGAAAATTTCATTCTTCATCTCCTCTCTGTTGTTTGCCAACCTCTATATGTTTAGTTCTATCATGGAGAACATGATTCGCTGCAATGTTGATGGCTGCCTTATTGTCACAGTAGAGTGACATAGGNTGGAAAGACCAAAACCTTAATAACATTATTTTATGTTTTTTGAAAATTTCATTCTTCATCTCCTCTCTGTTGTTTGCCGCCAATAAAAGATCTATCATAAGTCATAACTCATAATAAACTATAGTCATTTCTAACACTTGTTTTTCTGAATTTTGTACCAAAAGAACAAAAAAAAACGTCAACAAACAAATACTAATGAAACATAGGATTAATATATGTAGTGAAAGTTCAGTTAAGATCTAAAATCAAGAAATTCTATGAGGTTTTAAGGGAGGGGAAGAAGGTCGGGTTGGGTTAGGGTTGAAGGAATTTAGTTAGGGTTAGGGTTGGGTAGGTTGGGTAGAAGGTCGGGTTGGGCTAGGGTCAGGGTTGGGGGTTTAGAACTTAGGGTTGGGCTAGGGTTGGCCTCAACCTGACTTGACCTGGCCCGACTTGCAGCCCTAGTGGTGGAAGGCAACAGAATTATCCGGAAAAGTGCCTCACAAAAGAGACAGTGCATTAAATGGCCAGCACAATTTGGTTGGGTGGTAGCCTTGGAAAAGTGCTTCACTAAAGAGATGCTCATAAAGAGAGGTTTCAACATTTCAACCTATGGTGCCTGTTATGCAATCAGGAAACAGAGACCTCAAACGACCTTTTTTTTGCATTGAACTTCAGTACAGCAGTGTGGAATCATTTCTTGAAGGCTATTAATCTAAATTGATGCTTCCCAAATACTGTTAAAGCACTCCTGGAAGTGTGGCAAGTTCCTAAAATGAGTAAAATAGGGAAATTGTGCTGATCATCTATTCCACTGAAAATCATTTGGGTTTTATGGTTTGAAAGAAACAACAGAATATTTTATCAGAAATCCACAACTAAAGCAAAGGTGATTAATTTGGTGGTTGCAACAGTTAAGGGACAGGTTGACTGTCCATATTGTATTTAAAGATAATATCTTTTTTACTTCGTTTTGGAATGTGGACTTTTTTTAAGTTCTTTATGGCTACACATGTACAGCTTCTCATTGTACAGATGACTATAAAATTTTGATTAATACAAAATACTTTACCCTTTCTCCAAAAAAAACTAACAAAATAAAAACTTGCCAAGATTATTTTTCTAAAATCTAAGCACTTTAAAAACAATATTATAATCAAATTAGCTAGTATTAAATACTTAATCACATTCCACAATACAAACTTTAAGCACACTATTAGATATACATACCAGCACACTACTAACCCAATAGTCAAATACAAAATATGGATCCTTAATGTGCAAATTTCTGTAGAAAATGCAAATTAAGAAATTAGAGAGCATGTAGCATCTCCATTGCAGTGGATTAGGATTACTCACTAAAATAGAAGAAGTGAACTTCATATAAAAATTTAGAAACTAATACCAATTGAATTCAAATAAGTTAATTATATTTATTGTGTCCAAAAGTTTCTATTAAAATCAAGACTTCATTTTCACTAATTTGAACATGTTTCAATAGTACTAACTAAGTTCATAAAAATGGAACTGCTGGACATTTACCAAATGGACTTGTTCGTCTGTTCCTGTTGTTGAAGACAAAGAAAGCAATTTACCTATGCAACAGAAAGACCAATAGAAAAAGAGTAAGGGAACAACAAAACAATTTGCATGTGACGTTTAAATCATTCTCAATAAAAAATCAATATACAAAAGCAAAATAAGATACATGTATCACGATTCACGAGAGTTACAAGGAAAAGATACCAATGTAAATAAAAAGCAGGTTTGTTGCAGCCCTAATAATATCTTGAAGTTTATAACTGTATGCTTATGCTTTGAACAATCAAGTCAGAACCAGAATTATGCAGATTGAAAACCAGACCATTCACCTCTCTGACATGCGTATAACATCTGGTCTAGTACAGTGTACAGAACCTCTTCAGAATTTTTTTTTTCTTGAAACAATAAAATAAAACGAAATATAACTTGCCATTTTTTTGCTTTTGATAGGTAAAACAAAAGTAAAACAGAATTTAGTGAATTAAACCCAAATAACATTGTTGGTGTTGGCTAATCTAGTTATGATGAACTTACAATGATATATAGAAACATCAAAAGGAAGTTTTATTTGTTCATTATTAAAATGAAGCACATAATGGAATATGCATCCATCCTTCGAATTTTGTTGGACTTTTGACCAAAGAAAACAAAGAACTTTGTTGGAATTAGGCTAGTCAGCTCAACTAAACTATGTTACCATTCAATTGCCAAGCCCGAGTTAAGATTTCACAAATACCAACCGACCCCAAGATTAATAGATAACAAACGTGACGAGATTTTAACTCAGAGTGTGAGCAATGCATTGGCTCAGCTTCTTTGCAAAAACCCGGAGGTTACTGTTTCACTGCTGGTTCAAACATTAAATAAATTATAACATTGCAAGTATACTATGAGCGTCGGAGTTTACTGCATTGGCAGGAAAAACAAATTTTAGGGATTCCAAATTTTTAAGGCAAAAAGTAAGAAGTCGTTAGAGTCTTTGGCTCTCTGCTGCTCTTCATAATTGTTTGAGCAGTTGAGGCCTTGGGGGATGAGTCCTTGAGTTTTTGTTGGATTGCAACACTACCACACTCCCTATGTTTCCCTATCTTTGACGCCCACAGAAGGAAGAAGAAGAAAGAGGCAGGACTGGACTACCTGTTCTCCGGTGGTGACTGGTTGCCGACACTATCTTCGAGTTCAATCTCAATATTCGGTGCGTTGGAGTTTGGACTTTGGAGTTTTGAATCTGTGTATCTCCGGCAAGCCCTAACTAGGGGTGGGCCCTGGGCCGTATGTGTGGTGTGTCAAAGGGGTGGGTTGGGCTGGGTGCGGGTTGAGTACCAACCGAAACCAGAAACCCGTTTGCAAATCATATTTATGGACGTTAATGGGAGTCCCACAAACCCGAGCCCGGTTCTCATGCAAGCAAAAACGAGTTCACATCTCCGCCCCACAGCACATCCCCGGTACATAAACGGGAGATGTTCCCAATACACGACGGGGATGTGCTGTGGGGGCATTGTGGGGGCGGAGATGTTGTCTCAGCAAAAACTTGGCTCATAAGTCATATTAGATACCAAAACCAAATGAATCCACACTGTGAATGTGTGCTGGGATTTTCTTGCTTTCACCATATTGAACATTTTTCTTTTTACTTTTTTATTGTTTTAAATGCATAAAAATATTTAAAATGATAATATATTTCATGTAAAACATCAGAAATTTCATAAAGTAAAAAACTTAAGTGAAAATAATAATAATAATAATAATAATAATAATAATAATAAACTCAGATCAGTCAGACATCGGAGTGTTAAGTTATGGCCTCTCGAAGTTTTCATATGTATGCGACCTACGACCGAATCACCGAGTCGAATGGGTCAGTGGTTTAACCATACGGATCAAACGGTTTTTGACCAAGTCAGCGATTTTTTACCTTCTCCGAGTTTTATTCAAACCAAACCCAAAATCTTGACCGAATAACAGTTTGAGCGATTCAACTAGCCAAATTAACGATAAATTGTACACATTGATATGAACCGTTTGCACCCCTATTTGTAGTGATTTTCATCTCAACTAGGGTTGTCATTTGAGTCAAGGGCCACTCAATAAGAGATTTGGTATAATTAGTTTGGACTTAAGATGGTTGGCCTACTTAAATGAATCAAACCCAATATTTAAAATTTGGTATATTTAATAATTGGATCAAGCTAAACTGAATATATAATAACACTTTAATCTCAATAATATCTAAGCTCATTTGAATTTTATATAGCATCTATGCTATATATATATATATACTTTACTTTTTATCCAACCTGTAAAAGTGATATCAAAATATTATAGTTGATACAAGGTTGTTTGTTTTTATCTTTTAATCTTATCCAACCTGTATGTATACATATATGTAATTATATATAGAGAGATTATAATCAATACATAATTCTATGCGAATGAGTTAAAGAGCCATAAATTTTTTTCTTTTTTTTTATTTGATTGCAGTGTTTTCGAACTGTCGTTTTAGACCATTTGACCCGAAAATTATTTAGGCAATTGATTTTGTTTCACGAATAACCCATTATTGGAATAAAAAATATTAATTCAAGCCGTCAAACCATTGATCCGTTCAACCCGGACAACAATTTGTGGTTTAGTAAAGATGCAAAGAAGATCTCAAAAAGAGAGAGAGAGAGAAAGAGTGAGAGAGAGAGAGAGAGATTTTATATCGAAGAGAAGTTAGATTTCATATCTAAGACATGTGTTTCTGTTAAGGCTGCAACTTGGGTCGGGGTGATGTTCGGGTTAGGGTTAGGGTTGACTCCTTAGACAACCCAACCCAACCCGAACCCGATTCTATAGTACGTGTCATATATAAATATATATTATATGTAATATATAACATACATTGATTTGTTTAGATGCTTGATATTTGTATAGCCCCACTACATAGTATCATGTATTTCTTTTAGGTCTCGTTTGCTTTTGGGTAAGTTACTTAGTTACCTGGAAAACACACATTTACCCATGTTCTTTTATTTGTCATGTAAATAAGGCAACGACCATTTTAGCCATAAAAATCCATTATTAAAAAGGGCACTTTTGTCCCATTCAAGTGTTGGCAACTTTCCCCCTATGTGGGAAAGTTATTTACCCACCTAGGATATGGGTAAGTGATACCCAGGAAAATAAACTTTCCCTGGTCCCTAGATAAATYTAAAAAAAGAACATGAGATTCTTGGTCAATGGGAATCAAAATCCCATTGACCAACTTTCCCCCCTCTCAAAATCCAAAAAAAGAATGCCCCCTTAAGATAATCACTTCACTTAATCCTAATCAGAAAGACTAAAACCTTAATAACATTAATTTATGTTTTTTGAAAATTTTATTCTTCATCTCCTCTATGTTGTTTGCCGCCTAAGAAAGATCTATCGTAAGTCATAACACTTGTTTTTTCTGAATTTTGTACCAAAAGAACAAAAAAAAAACGTCAATAAACAAGTACTAATGAAACAAAGGATTAATATATGTATTGAAAGTTGAGTTGAGATCTAAAATCGAGAAATTCTATGAGGTTTTAAGGAATGGAAAGAAGGTTGGGTTGGGCCCAACCTGAGCCCAACCCAACCTGAAATTGACTTTGGCTTGGGTTGGGTTGGGTTAGGGTGAAGGAAATTAGTTAGGGTTATGGTTAGGGTTGGGGGTTTAGAATTTAGGGTTGGGCTAGGGTTGGCCTCAACCCAACCTAACCTGGCCCGACTTGCAGCCCTAGTTTCTGTTGTTGCTGCCACCACCGTGGCTGTCATCATTGCCGTTAAATGTTGGTTCATCCTCCTCATCCTCCTTCTTCCTTTATTTCCTTTCATTTTTTTTTCCTTTATCTCCTTCCTTCCTTTCTTTCTTTAGTTCTTTTGCAATGGACAATCACTTGTAAAAGACTTTTTTTTTTTTTTTGCAAAACACTCATAAAAGACTAAGGAGTAACAATAGTTGTCCGATCATATTCAAACCGTTTGACCTGGATGGTTAAACCATTGACCCATAAATCAACGACCATTGTGGTTTCATTTCCGAGTCAATTTTTAAAACCTTGCATGATTGTTTGTTATGTTTATCTATGGAAATCAATTTTACTGCTAATTGGCTTGCCAAGTTGGGTCATGGTGGTTTGAGAAGTTAATGTTTTGGCAAGGTTTTAAAAACTGAACTAGACACCAAACTGTTATAAGGACCGGTTATTGGGTTAAATGGTCTGACATTCTGACTTGAAAAATAAATAAAATAAATAAACAACCAAAAAACCATTGTGGGTTTGACCGCCTGAATATACATTAACTTTTTTTATGGCTATGATGAGATGGGACTGTTAATAGTCCCAAATAAACTAAATGTACATTAACTTTTTTTATCTATATTTACTATATATATATATATATATTCTTTTCAAACTGAGCCTTATTAAATAACGATGCAAATACAAATATATACATTGCAAATCCCTATATACAATAGTTCTATAACTTGTATTTATACTACGCATATTTATATTTAACCTCTACCAAATATTTATATTTAGCCTTAGGAAACGAAAAACAGCCAGGCTTTTTCTTTTATATATATATATATATATATATAAATATATAAACCAGAGATTCAAAATAGTAGCTACACCCAATGGGAGTAGCCCATCCCCAAATGTCAGCACAAGAAAGACACTTAAGAAAGAAAAGCAAATAAGAAATCGAACTAAGATTTGAATGAGCACAATTAGCAAGCTAATCAGCAATTCGGTTCCCTTCCCAGAATATGTGTTTGTACTCCAATGCACTGTCCATTTTCTCGACCAAAGACTTGCAACCTTTAATGATCATTCTCAGTCTCCACGGAGGGTCCACCTGGTTTTTTAGACAGTCAATAACAAGTTTTAAATTGCCTTCAATGATAATGGAATTTTCGTTGAAATTGAAAGTAAGATTGTGAGCTTCCCAAGCTACACATGATGGCATCACTCCCAATGAAGCGTCGCCTAAACTTAAAATGACAATCCAAAACATCTGGACCGAACTAGATGATCAGATTGATTGACCCATAAACCGGTTAGTTAATCAGTTCCATTTCACCCTAAACCCGTTTTTGGCCAGAAATTGTGGATCTGATCAACAAACCACTGATTCAGGCGTCAAATCATCGATCCACACAATGGKTTTTTTGGTTGTTTTTTGTTTTTATTATTTACTATTTTTTTAAGTCAGAATGTCATACTGTTTAACCCAGGAACCGGTCCCTATAATAGTTCCATGTCCAATTCAGTTTTTAAAACCTTGCCAAAACATTAACCTCTCAAACCACCATATTATGACCCAACTTGGCAAGCCAATTAGTAGCAAAATTGATTTTCATAGATAAACATAACAAACAATCATGGAAGGTTTTAAAAACTGAACCGGAAATGGAACCATAGTGGTCGTCGATTTTCAGGTCAATGGTTCAACTATTTGGGTCAAACGGTTTGGGTGGTTTGAATACAATAGGACAATTATTGTCATTCTTTAGTCTTTTATGAGTGTTAAACACAAAAAAAAAAAAGTCTTTTACAAGTGGCTGTCGACTACAAAATAACTAAAGAAAGAAAGAAAAGAAGGAGATATACGATAAAAAAATGAAAAGAACGAGACAAAGGAGAAAAAGGAAAGAAATGAATGAAGGAGGGAAGAAAGAGGAGTAAGGGCCTACATTTAATGACAATGATGACAGCGACGGTGGCAGCAGCAAATAAACACATATTAGATATGAGATCTTGTTTCTCTCTTTTATGAGATATTGTTTTATGAAATCTCTCTCTCTTGAGATATGAGATTTGCTCTGGACCTTTACTAAACCATGCATTGTTGTTTGGGTTGAATGGGTCAACAATTTGATTGTCCGAGTCAATGTTTTTTATTCTTTTTTATCCCAAGAGTAAGTTATTGGTGAAACAGAACTAGTTGCCTAGATGGTTTTCGATTCAAATGGTCTAAAACAATTGTACGGGTATTGAATTGTCACATTTTAGAGTTCGGGAACCAAAATGACACTAGGCCCAAAGTATAAGGTACTAATTGGGAATTTTCCAGTATCTACCGTTAACTAGTTGTTAACCAGCTGTTAAGTAGTATTTGAAAAAAACACAAATGCCCTTTGAGTTTCATCTAATTTTCTTTATAAACCATGCAAATGTTTACAAAAAAATTAAAATAGAAGAAGCA